GCTGAGCTCAAGACAGACCATTCCTGTGCTTTAGGAGGGCTGAGCTCAGGACAGACCATTCCTGTGCTTCAGGAGAGCTGAGCTCAGGACAGACCATTCCTGTGCTTCAGGAGAGTGTCTGGAGCCTCCTGCATTGGGTGCCCTGAGAGGGAATCAGCCAGGAGTTCTGGTGATGGCAAGAGCCTTTAGGCAGCTTGAACCACAAGTCCATCTAATACCATATCCATGTGGATCTGCAAGGAGTAAACCCATTGGGTGTGTGGATTCAGCAGCAGGAAATGGGTGCAGGTGAGCCCAGGGCAGTGAGACACATCACACCACAAGAGAAGAGGTGCCTTGTCACTGCCCCTGCAGGGACCATAAATAAAGCTTTTGCCCCCTTGTCACTTGTCACCAGGAACCTGCAGGCYGAGTACGACCGTCTGAAGCAGCAGCACGACCACAAGGGTCTGTCTCCACTGCCGTCCCCTCCCGAGATGATGCCGGTGTCCCCGCAGAGCCCCCGCGACGCCGAGCTCATTGCAGAGGCCAAGCTGCTTCGCCAGCACAAGGGCCGCCTGGAAGCCAGGATGCAGATTCTGGAGGATCACAACAAACAGCTGGAATCACAGCTGCACAGGCTGAGGCAGCTGCTGGAGCAGGTGAGTCCTCAGGCATTTCTTCWGGCTCTCTGAAGGGTTATTTTCCAAACAGGGTGTGAAGCGTTATCGGTAACAAGAACATACCAAGAAACCAAATCTGTGGAGGCGAGTCAGAGGAAAGGACTGAATTGTTCTACAGGCTGCAAGTGAGAATGTGAAATCTAATTTCAGTGATTTTATTTAGTCTTTTCCCTTGTTTTATTCAGAATTAAAGCGCATTGGTTGCATGGATGAATTTACTTAAAAAAAAGATTGAAAATTGTGTGTGTTCATTGAACAAATGAAAATTACRGAGATATAAAGTGGTGAACTGTTAATAGCAATGTCTTACTTTCCTCTTGAATTTCAGCCACAGGCAGATGCCAAGGTGAATGGTACAACACTGTCATCTCCTTCTACCTCTTTGCAGAGGTCAGGCAGCAGTCAGCCAATGCTTCTCCGTGTAGTTGGCAGCCAGACTTCAGAAACCATGGGTAAGATAACGAAACTCAGATTGTCACAAAAAAATAATTACTTCCCATTTGCCAGGAAAAGAAACCTTAAAGACAGAAAACGCTTTTCTGTTTAGTTCAAATGAAATGAAGTAGACATTTGCAATGGTCTTCGATGTTGTCTGGCTGGGTACACTTTGCATCTTCATTATGATTCAGGCTTTGCTTTTGATCATGATGCACTCAGTAGCTTGGATATTTTGMTATTAAACACAAAGCTCAGCCAGGGCTTGACTTCTGAAAACAAATGCCACTGAAAAGCTAACTATTCTATTCAAACTGACTTTCATTTATTAAGCGTGACATGACTGATTTAAATGTACATAATATTAATTATGGCTAAGAGATTAAATGTATGATTAGTCATCCCCATGTTAAATGATGTGATCTTATTTTTAATATGTTGTGGCTCAGTCACTAGGGGGGGGATGGAGCTGTCACTCAGGCATGCTCATCTTTTGGCTTTTCTAAGTATCACATCAGATGTGATAATGAACATCATAAGAGTTGTGGAGTAAGGTTAAGTAATAATATTCTGCAGCTGGAGGCTGGAATTATTATTTTGGTGCTTTTAGTAACTGCCCTGTGGCACTTTCCTCATTTCCTGTCTGTTATATAATTAGTAAGTATTTATTACCAAGTGACAAGGATTTTCTGCTAGTAAAAAAGCAATCAATCTTTGCAGCATCTTTAAGCAAATGYACTTATATTACTTCAACGAGATAATGTTTCAAGTCTGATGATAAAATTCAACTTCATACACAGAAATTTATTTTATRTATATTACTGAGAAGTATAAGTGAGAGCTTTTCACTGCTGTTAGTGAAAGTGTCGATAACAGTGAGGAATTGAATGGGAGGGGACTTTCTGCTGTGTCTGAAGTGCTGATGTGGTGGGAAATGCAGCTTTTTGGGGGGCTTTTTCTTCCATTCCAAGTTTAAGCCACAGTGTCAGCCTGTGACAGTATTCAAACAAGATGGGTTCTGTATGCTCTGAATAAAAAATGTGAAATAAATTGTACCTTAAGTTGAAATCCCTGGGGGTAAGAGTACAATCACAGGTCATAGGAATTAATGGAAAAAGTAAAAATGGACCTTTCAGTASTCATATTACCACTGGGAAAATATTTTGTTACGTATGCCATACACAGAGTAGATATAATGTATTAGTGTGTAATTTGCATCAGTTTTCTGAGGAAATTTCATGAATTTCATGACCTAAAATACATTAATTAAAACACACAAGATAAGACAGGAGGACTGCATTTCCCAGCCATCTTGTTAGAAGTYTGGTAGTTTCATATTTCATCCTTTAGTGGGATAAAATACAACAGTATACTTTTTTTCATTTGACTCAACAAAAAATTATTCCCGTTTATCTCGTAAGACTAAAATTAATTGATTAATGTGCTAGAGTCATGTAGACTGCTAAAACTTTTTAAAGCAAATATTTAGACATGACTTGATTTTATTTGATTGGTTTGATTGAGCCAATATGTGGGAGGACAGCRAGATGCTGAGTTATCAGTAGGATCATACTGAGACTCAGCAAAGCCACACTGTTGGCAGCAGGGAGTGGAGTTTATAAAAAGAATTACTAACCAAGCTAACAAACCGCAACTAATTCAGTTTGTCAAGTCTCCTTTCACACCAGAAAGCTTTGCTTGCTAGGCTGAGAGTTTTCTCAAGCCCAGCTTAAAATACTCTTGAATTGTGAAGGGTGCTGTAAATAATTCTCCCATGCAGCAACTGTGTGCCCAGGAATGAGTGAGCTGTAATTTTTGAAAAAATACTGAGGTTCTCTACATGTCTCAGGCAATGTAGTGGTAGCTTTTATATGTTTTTCTCTTTAAAATTAGACCCTAGTTGTTTTTTTATTTTGAGTATAGACCCACTGCACTTCTGTCTCTCTGCTTTCCCGAGGAGAAATTGCTGTGAAAGCTTTTCCACCAGCGGTGTTTTGGTAACAGCAGTTACCACTCAAACCCTAATTTACAAATTGGAAAACTCATTTCTTGTTAACCTGAAGTAYACCTTCAGGCAAGTGGAAAGGTTCTGCTTTTCTTCTCTGAGAGTCCCAAAGGGAAAATCCTTATCCTTGGCCTTTCTCCCCGAGCAGTGTAGCAGCAGAGGAGGTTCTCTGAGGCAGGAGGCTGTTGCTAAACTTTAATTTAATTTGTTCAGGCACCACCATAATATTTGAGTCTTGCTCAGCTCTCCAAACTTTTTGTAGAAACACAGATGGGGAAGGCTCTTTTAGGTAAAGAGGAGGAGATTGAGAGAGGAGATTGAGATCTGATGGTATCTTTACTTTTGTYGAGTTGTTTGGCTGATGTCTTATTTTGTCATTTAGAAGAAAATGCTCAGAAAAATCATCCAAACAAGGAAAAATATAAAAATTATGCATTTTAAATTAACAATGCAGCATTTTTGAGRGTCAACACAGTTTGGCTTGTATCAGCACTTACAGGGATATTTGGAAATTGGTACCTGTCTTCAGTTCTTGAYCAGGACAGCAGAGCCACTGCCTTCTTATTCTGATCTTTAGGACCAGGAGGCTTTCTTCAKGCTGATAAAACCCTCAGCCTGGGGAGAAGCAGTGAGACCTCGCTCTGAGTTTTCACCTTGACATGCAGGAAAGGCTGCAAAGACATTGCTTTTGCTAAGACCCCTCTGTCAGTGCAATGCCTGATGTGAAAGTAACTCATGGTGTGAGTTGATTTGTGTGAGCCCAGCACCACTGGAAAGCTGAACAAACTGCAAGCAGCCTCAGCAACTATTTTTAGACCATTAATAGAATAAAAGAAGCTGATACAAAGACCGTCATTTATATGAATTAAGTGCTTCTTGCAGACACTATCCCACTTCTTGTGCTGGAGTGGGAGAAATCACTCTTGGTTTAACAAAACTCCTGGCTCAAATATAGTCAGCCCTGAAGCAGTCCTTTAAGACACCTTTTTYGAGGTTTTTCACTAGCCTGGAATGTTTAAAGAATGTAAATATTAGCAGAAAATCAGCCAGTTTCCTACTCAAGTTGAGTAGGGCAAGACATGTTACAATAAAGGGTCATTGAGTCATTTTCAAAATAAATATATAGCTGAGTTATTACGGCAGGCAAAATTGCTTTTGTTAATAGAGATAAAGAAGTCTAGTAAAAAAGGAGAATCTCACTCCAAATAAATGCTTCAGGTGTATTTTTTTCCAGATGCTTTATTCATATTGGAGGCTAGGATCTGCATTAAAAACAACATATGGATTTTAGTAAAATGAAACTATGAGCAAAAAAATCCAGTAAAAAATAAAATGTATTGAATTTCCCATTAAGCTGCTGCCCTGTAATCAGGTTATGGAAATTATTCAGTGCRAGAAATGTATTTTGCTTTATTAAACTGCTGCTAAACCCTTTTACAGTACAATTGAGTGTTCTTGGAGCACCAATCTGATGCAATTAAACTGTCAGAAATATTAATACTGATGCAGATGAGAATCTGGGTTTCTACTGATTTGCACAGCTAGGCAAAGCAATGCCAACATGAACCCAGCACTATTAGAAAGCTGCTCAACAGCAGCACTCACAACAGCAATTTCTTTTTCCATTAATAGAATAAGAGAGGCTGAAGCRACGAGTGTCATTTATGGAACTGGATGTTCCTAGCAGACATTTTACCCTACTTTTTCAACCAGAGTGGATAATTTCTTAAATCCCTTTTTACAAATTAAAATAATATTAATTGCCTCAAATTCGTAGTTTAATTGCACTTATATCCTTACAAAGAAAGAGAGCAGTCACAATCAACAAAATTCACCTTTGGGTGAATTTTTATTGTATACTAAGCAGAAAACATGTCTAAAAGAACAGCCATAGCTTTGAGGAGGACTGGGCAGTGTGAACTGTTAGCACAGGCTCATGCAGCGGTGTGGATTTGCTTTGCAGGCGAGGATGAGCTGCTCAGCCCTCCCCAGGACACAAGCACAGGTTTGGAGGAAGTGATGGAGCAGCTGAACAACTCCTTCCCCAGCTCCAGAGGTGAGCGCTGCTGCCTGTGGCAGAAGAGAGGGAAGAAGATAAAAGTGCTTTCTGTTCCTTGATGTTTTCAGGGGGTTGTGTTTTGGTATCAGGTTTTTTTGTTTTTTTGTTTTGTTTTTTTTTTTGCTGCTCTTTGTTTTCATTTTAACAATAGCTGTAGAGAAACCTGTCTGGTTTGGAGTGGAGAAGCAGCCTGTTCCTCCTTACTTTAAGCTACCACCACAGGTAGCCCTTGCTAGATATGTGGATGGAACATCTTTGTGAGACTTTCTTCCCCAGGCATTTTCTTTGCTTCTCTTTTGCCATGTTCCTTTTCTCACAGTTTTCCTSCTTTTTATTTGATCCCCTTGATGGTTTATTTTTTAATACATGCCTTAGCACATTTTTTTTCCTGCCCTTATCCCTCTCCAAGAATGTGTTTTGAAATAATATTAAAGTTCTAAGTCGAAGTTCTCAGCCATGTAGCCCTCAGGTCCAGAGGGCTGGAGGAAAAAATGAGTGGGGTTCTTGTTTGTGCAGCATAGGCTGCACTTGTTCATACAACCACAGCATTTCTWTCAGTGTTTCCATTTAGTCATTCCTGTTGTTTGCTAAAAATAAGCATTTGTATTACTGGGATTTACTTGTTCAGCCTTTTTTCATTTAAGAAATTCTTTTCTGAGCTCAGAAGAAAATACTCTTCTGCCAAGAAAAATGGCTTGGATTCCTTAGCAGGAGATGGGAAGTTTGGGATAYTGGCTGTTGCTGTGAAAGGAGGCTCAGACATGAACCTCTTGGCAGGAGAAAGTCTTGGTACTGCCAGCCTGATAAGTGGATTTCAGGGGGCATAAACTTCCTGCAGGGCTCTCACACATCACCCAGGGGTTCTTCTTCAGGAGGTAAATGCCTTAAACATTGTACTAATCTTCCAGTGGAGTTCAGTTTTCTCCATCCTTTGGTTTCAAAGCAAGTTCAGCTCTCACCAGGCMTCATCTGTGAGCAGTGGGAAAAAAAGTCAATATAAACTGTAAAAGATCTCTCTCTTTCTAGATCAAAAGATGGAATCATTTAGAAATCCATTGAATAAAGTCTAATATAATGAATTGTTAATTGCACTCAGCTCCACCTCAACATTATGGCAAAAAGTCGTATGTCCAGCCTTCATTTTGCCTAGATAATTAATATGAGAGATGACAGATGAAAAATCTAATATTGCTATTTAGATAAAAATTTACCTATTTTTAAAGTTGCTGTGTACACAAAGTAGCAACAGACTGTTTTGTCAGTGACCATCATTTGTGTAAATATGTTGTACATAGATCTTGCATAGTCACATGTGTCTAGATGTAGATGTCCCATGTGTAAATGGGATAATTCTGTAAATGCATTGTAAATATTCACTAAATGTGTTATCTAATTTCTGTTCATAGTGATGACACTGGCCAGTGTTTGTATTTAAAAACAAGCTTAGTTTTCAGTGAAACAAGAGCAATTTATGAAACAAAATTTAATGACATTTGAAATAAAGTGGTTCATTTCCTGTGTAGAATGAGTAGGTAGAGGTCAGTCTGTTATACMTAACCTTCTGTTCATTGAGAATAGAAAAGGGATTTTTATCTTATTAGTAAAAAATACAAAGCTTCGTGAAACAAACTGAGAGAATAGAAAATTCAATAGGGAAAAAAGTGACATTTATAAGGTCAGATAATATTTTGATTTTGTAAATTAAGCTGTAGCTTCAGATTTCATTCTCATGATGCAAAATGTGGTCATTTAGCTAGAGAGAAAGAATGTATTCCCTTATTTTGTTTCTCCATTCAGTGACTGTGTTGAAAATGTAGCAGATGATCACAAGCATCCATGAGAGATATTGGAGTTTATATACTTCCATTCTGACCAGCAGCTGTGGAGAACAAAAACACTCTCTGTTACTGAAGTTTTCTTCTATTCCCAGTTTATCAGTTCAGTTATTTTCAACTGATCCCTGTGTACACAAAGCTTACATCCAACATCTGSTGTGCTGCACCCACATGGAGATTTTAAGTGTGACGTGAGAGATGCTGTGGTCAGTCAGATCTGATTTAAAATTTTCAAGACTGCAGGCAGAGGAAAAGGAAGCAGAGTTGATTGGTCTCAACACATGAGCAAACCAGGAACCTTTTTGCTGTTGAGAGGTGCAAATCAGTATCTCAGATTTCTGTAATCTATAACAGAAGATCAAACTGCAGTTGCAGAAGAATGAAAGCAGTTTGTCAGAATGGCCTGAGAAGAGGGCAGAGTGTAAGGACTCAGRCGTGGTGCAAGTGAAATTTTGTTCCTTTCCATTACAAGTTGCATTGAATCTCAAGTTACAGGTGTGAATATTTATCTCAAGTAAGTKTTTGGGAAACAAGACTAAAGTAAACAAGCAATAGCACAGATCTGTATGCAATACATTTTCTTATATTGATTCTTATTAAGTAGAATTTTAAAATTGTCAGATACCAGAAAKGCAGTCAACCCAGTATGCCATTCAGAAACAGGTTTTGATTCAGGAGCTGAGGGAGCTGGGGTTGTTTAACCTAGAGAAGAGGAGGYTTAGTGGAGACTTTATCACTCTACAGSWACCTGAAAGGAGGTTGAAGCAAGGTGGGGTTTGATCTGTTCTCACAAGTACCAAGAGTAGGACAGCCTGAAATGCCTTAAATAGTGAAATGGCAGAGGGGTTTAGACTGGTTATTAGGGAAAATTTCTTCAGGAAAAGGCTTGTCARGCTTTGGAACAGGCTGCCTAGGGAARTGTTTGAGTCAACAACCATGGAGGTATTTGAAAGTCATGCAGATATGGCACCTGGGACTTGGTTTGATGGGGGGCTTCTCAATGCTGGGTTAAGAGCTGGACTCAATGATCTTGAAAGTCCATTCCAATCTTAAAGATTCTATGAAATACATTTTCTTTGTGGCCTGTAGAAATAAGCATAATTCAAGCTGAGTATCAGCTTGTCACAGCATAGGGAGTGGCAGGCTTTTTGAATTGGGGACATAAATCTGGGTGTCCTGTTGCCATTAGAATAACAACAATTTGGAGGAGTTCAGAACAATATGACAAAAGCAAAGTGAACTTGGGAGGCTTTCACTGTGAGAAAAGTTCTGAGCTGAACAAGAAGTGAAAAGAGAAAAGGACTGAATTTCTGTGCTTGGGTGCACAGATGTGTAGTTGAGCATCACAGACATATTTAGCCTAAATATTGCCACAAGCCCCTGAAGAGTAAGACTTGCTCAAGTTGGGAAATAGTTTACCAAAGCGAGTAGTGGCTCTTATTTTTGACTTCTGAAACAAAACAGTAAAATGTAGTAGCAATTGTCTCTCACCTTGAGATAGATTCCTCATAATTATGATATTTTTCAGCCTTTTGCTGCACAGAGTTGTTTTAAAAAGGACATCAAGGCTTCATAGCATCCTTTTGGATGTATTTTAGAGAAGCAAATGTAAACAGATTGTGTCATAGACCTGCACAAGCAGACCTCAGAAGCAGTAGCTTGTGTACCTTATACCTTTTATAGGGTTTTTCATTTGTTTGTTTCTTCAGTTTAAGCTTTTGACAGTTCTTGGCATTTCCTAAGGAGAACAGGACTTCCCTGCTCCTCGCTCAGCTGGCTGTTGGTGCCGAAAGCTGTTTCATTTCTGGAGAGAGAAATTCTGCTGAATACCTGATGATTGCTGTCCTTAAGGAATTTTTCTTTCCTTTTARTCTAAAAGGTTTCCCATCCACTCCTCTTTTACTTTGCTGCTCCCAGCAAATTCACAACTGCTGCAGCTGCTTCAAACAGCTGCTGTGCTAACTCAAAACAGATGTCAAAGCCAGAGGTCTGACATTTAGTGGAAATCTACCATTAAATAAACCCAGTGGTTTATTTGACCCTGCTCGATAATGGACCACAGAGGAAAACATTTTCACGCCGTATTTGTGCCCAAACTACTGAATCTCTAGGGAACTGGTTCACAGTTAGAGAGTAAGATTGGCAGGCCAGTATTTTCACAGCCAAATTCATCTCTCCTGCAGCACTGAGGATGAACAAGTTGCCCCATTTCAGTGGATCTCATGGTGGACCAGGCTGAGTTTTGCAGTTTTGATTCCTTGGCAAACACTTTTAGTGAATGGAGCTCAGTGAGGAATTTAGAGGCAGAAGTTCTTGAACTAACTGAAGCTGGTGAAAGAGCTTCACAGATTCACAGTGCTGGGCCCCTGCTGGGAGATAATGAAGAAGTGGGAGCCAAAACTGGTTGGAAATGAGACTGATGGCTTGAAAGAGCTGAGAGGCTGTGACATAATATGAGAACATTTGGACAGAGACTGCTCCCCACAATTTCGCACAGTGTTGCTTAACACATTTGTGGTGTGGTGAAATTACAAGACCCCACAGGCAATAGATGGCACTAAGAATATCACCCTTTTTGGGTTTTTAGGAGTTTTATTTTTATCTCTGTCACATTCAAATACACCAGTCACATTTTCTCCTCTCACTTGTGCATCAGCCAGGCTCTGTCATGAATGGGACTAACATCCTAACTGGAACTGGAACTAACTAACATCCTAACTGGAACTAGCAACTTTCAGCACTGCAAATAATGCAGTTTCCCTTATTCTGACAGCAGAATGTTTTATGATGTGGACTTCTCTTCTGACACTTTACTGAGTCAGTGGAAGAGTACCSTGGAGTTACAATACTGTAGAGTATTCTGGAAATATGCCTCCAGCTGAGACACTCTGGTGTCTGCTGGATTGTGTCACCTTTTCTGTGCTGTGGTTCTGATGCCTGATGATTTTTGCTTTTCCCTTTATGCTTCTGTACCCTCTATACATCCGCCTGTACCCCTTAACCCACATGTTTATAATTCCTGAAGCTTGATATTCCAGCTTAGTTTAGGAGCTCTGCTGGGCAGAGAGACCAAACATCCTGAGGAAGGGCTCAGTGTGCCCTGTGCTGTCTTAAACCCGAGCTCAGCCTTGGGTGAAGCCTTCTGTCCAGAACATCTTGTGT